AATTTTAAAGAAATTATTCATTTTTATGTATGTATGTATTTATTTGGAATTCCTTTACATATTCCTTTACAAGTAGTTTTTAAAATAGTAACAGCTATAAAGTGGCAAATACAGCCTCCACTGGCTGAACATTCATATGTCATTCCAAAAAGACCTACATATGGAAAGTTCCCACTTCCTATATATTCTGAGAGCTATCACTTCTGGCTGCTGGTAATTGCCAACATGTTCAGTTTGCTTAGCAACAGTTTTACAGTAGATTAACCACTTGCACTGTCATAAAAGCAAGATATTTGCAGATTCTCTAGATGTTTATGATGTTTCTACTGAATTTCTGTTAATGTGTATGACATCTTAGTGGAACTATCCAAATGGATTTGTCCAGATTTTCCTTCAGTGTGCCTTCGGAAAGGTAGAAGTACTCAAAACACTGACCTCTTTTTCCCTCTCTGGAGTCATTTTTCTTTTGTTACTCAAGGATGAGAACATTCTCAGCATCCCTACAGACTTACTTCAGTGGCAATTATCCCTCTGCAAGAGCACTACAGAAAATGACTTCTGCAGAAGTTTTGCTTGTGCCAGCCACTATCTGCTACAAACTGTTGACCTAATGGAAAAGTCAAAGAAAACTGCAATAGCTCCCACTTCAGATAAGGTTGTGGGCACAGCAAGGCAAATTGCAGTCACATCCTTTACCTGTTTAACAGTAGCAGCTAGTTTGACAAAAGGAAGTAAAGACTTGCTTATGTGAGCAGTGCAACCACCAGGTGTGAGTGGATTAAAAAATCCAAGTATGTGAGAGGTTATGAGCAGCTACAAGCATTCCACAGGGCAACAGGACTTAGTGCCAACTGTCCTTATCCTCTGTTCTAGTACAATTTGTGATAAAAACCTCTGCTAACAAAATTTAATAAGCTGCGACATCCCAGAACTACATGTAGCCTGTAAAACTGCCCAGGACAGAAGTTCAAAAGTTGAAGGATTTCTACACACAGCTTCATGCCAGAACCACCACCACACCAGTCTTGTGTCTTGTGGAGGTGCAGCCACAGTGATAGGGAAGATACACTCATGAGCTACACAATGAACCTGAGGAGAGCCCAGGGGCAGAAAGATCCTTGTGGACACAGATGTCCTCCTCCCCTTTGGGTTACCATTCCTCTTGCACAGGCTTGTGGCTCAGCATGGACCCTTTGTCCCTCTGTTCCAAGCTCAGGGCCAGCTGGGTCTCTTTCCAGTGCCTCTCTGCTCATTCATCCCTTACAAACTGTCTGTATTCCCTCTGCTCCATTTCCAGCCAAGTTGTGGTTTTCCTTTTCCTCTTTGCTGAGTTCCAAGGGCACAGTTAAGCAGGGCTCTGCTGCATGTGGTAAAGATGGCCACGTCACCAAAGTGCTTCAGGGGTGTTTCTGAACTCAGGCAGAGACTCCACATCATGAGGCATATGTAACCTTTTCAGGACAACTGTGCCATGGAAAATTCCCCATGAAGAAACACAAACATAAAATGTTCAACATCACAAACTTCATACTGACAAGACTGCTCTAAAATAAGCCAGCAGAGTAACATTTGCTAGACACTTCAACTTGCTATTTTAACCTGTTCAGATGTTCTAAATTTCCTCAAACTTACATGCAATTAATTAGGGAAGTAGTGGACTAGTTGGCATAGTTAAACTGTTACTGCAGACTCTTTAAAGGGAAGCTCCACTGGATTTTAGTGCAATGGATTATGACATTCCCTGAGCTGCCATTTCTGGACTCCCACCAGACATCACTGCCCTCCATAGCAGAGGTGAGAGAGCAGCACTTGTCCCAGGTACTGCAGATTTTTGACACTAACCCACCTTTGCAAGTCTAGAAACAAGGCACACACACATCCACAGTGCACCCTTTAAATACATAATGATGACTGTTGAACCTTGATACTACTACGTAATATACAAGATTTGAATGTGCCACCAAATTACTCTCTTTCTTCTCCCTTATCAGAGAATGCAAACTATGATATACCAAGGTGACTACCAAAAAGCACAGCGATAGGTATGAGTCCTATGAAACGTACAGAGTTGATGTTGAGGCCAAGCAGACTGTTGAAAGTTCAGAGCGTAGATCTTACAAGGCTGTGGACTACAAACTATCACAATTACTGTGATAGTAATCAGTGAATACCAAGAGAAGAACAAAACAAAATTTGAACACTCCCTGGACAAGAAACATAAAAAAGCCAGCACCTCAGGATTGGTGTATCCCTGAGAGCAAGTAATCAGGCAAAGAAAGTCAGAGACCTGCACAGTTGATCAGGAAGCTTCTGAAAAAGCTCAAGTTCAAGAAGGAATTTTACAATAGATGGAAGAAGGGACTGACCACTTGGGAAGATGACAAGAATGCTGTCAGAGTAGGCAGGGATAAAACTAGAAACACCAAGGCCTTGTTGGAATTAAACTTGGCAAGAGAGGTCAAGGCCAACAGGAAGCGTTTCTTCAAGCATATTGGATGCAAAAGGAGAACTAGAGAAAATGTGAGCCTGCCATCGAATGAGGCAGCTGTCATGGTGACACAGGATGCAGAGAAGGGGGACTTACTGACATCATCATAGAATGGTTTGAGTTAAAAGGGACCTTAAAGATCATGTAGTTCCAACCCCCTGCATGGGCAAGGACACCTCCCACCAGACCAGGCTGCTCCAGAGAGTGGTGGTCAATGGAGTCAAATCCATCTGGGGCCAGTCACAAGTGGTGTTGCTCAGGGTTCAGTGTTGGGACCATTTCTGTTTAACATCTGTATTGATGATCTTGATAAGGACACAGTGTATTATCAGTGAGTTTGCAGATGACACCAAGCTGGCCAGGAGTGTTGATCTGCATGAGGATAGGGAGGCTCTACAGAGAGACTTGGATAGATTGGATTGTTGGGTTAATGTTAGTGATCTGGGCTTCAACAAGACCAAGTGCTGTGTCCTGCACTTGGGCCACAGCAACCCTAGGCAATGCTCCAGGCTTGGGGAAGTGGCTGGAAAGTGTCTGGCAGGAAAGGACCTGGGGGTTCTAATTGACAAGTGGCTGAATATGAGCTAGCAGAGTGCCCAGGTGGCCAAGAAAGCCAGTGGCATCCTGGCTTGTATTAGAAATAGTGTGACCAGCAGAAGTAGAGAGGTGATTGTCCCCCTGTACTCAGCCCTGGTGAGGCCACACCTGGAGTGCTGTGTCCAGTTTTGGATACCTCAATTCAGGAGAGATATCAAGGTGCTGGAGCCAGGACGGAAGAGGGCAACGAAACTGGTGAAGGGCCTAGAGAATAAATCTGATGAAGAATGCTTGAAGGAGCTGGGAATGTTTAGTTTGAGAAAGAAGAGGCTGAGGGGAGACCTCATCAGTCTCTACAACTACCTGAAAGGTCATTGTAGAGGGGGTGGTGCTGGTCCCTTCTCACAGGTAATTACCAACAAAACAAGAGGGAAGGGCTTCAAGCTGCACCAGGGCAGGTTTAGGCTGGACATTAGGATTTTTTTTTTCACAGAAAGAGTGGTTAGACACTGAAACAGGCTGCCCATGGAGATGGTTGAGTCACCATCCCTGGCTGTGTTCAAGGGTCATTTGGATCTAGTGTTGGTGGATGTGGTTTAGGGGAGAACTTTGTAGCGTAGGGATGATGGTTGGACTCTGTGATTCCAAGGGGCTTTTCCAACCTGAATAGTTCTATGATTCTATGACTTACTCTCAAGCAAGATCTTGTCTTGCATGGTAGAATACTTCAACTGTTTAACTTTTCCCTTCTCACAGCTATTATAATGAAATTAATAAAAATAATATATGTCCATATTATATACAGAAGAATTTCCCCCATAAACACCCATCTTCATCCTGCAAATATTTCATGCTTTTGAGCAAGAACCTGCTTATAAAATCCACCTCTTGATTTAGCAGAGAGGACGTTTTACTCAAACATGAAGGCTGAGACATTAACTGAACACTAAGACTACAAATTCCAGGCAAATACCAATTACTTATTAATTCCCATAAATTTCATATTAATTGTATTCGTATCATTTTTTTCCATGTTATATTTACATACCTAATTTCTGAAAACAAAATAAAATTTAAAATACCTCAACAGGAAAAAAAAAGTCCTTTCCTAGCAAAGGCTGTTTGACATTCATCTCCCTGAAAGTCCAGCACAGAAATCCCAGTTGAAAACCACGTACCTCATATTTGAGCCACTTGAGCCACTGGTGGTCATTTTTAATTAATGTAACTTTCTGTATGAATGGACTAGTATTGATGGCTTAATAGAGAGCAAGACACCATTTCATAAGTAAGAATGTTACAATAGACAAAAAATAATAGGATGATGACCTATCTTGTCTCCAATAAACACCAAGCTATGACTGTGTGTGAAGGGAAACCCTGTTCATAACCCCAGGATTACTGACGCTAAAAAACAGCTGACAATAAGGATGAACAGAGGATTAGCCAAGATTTAGTTACACTTTGATATACAGGGAGAATGAGATTTCAAAAGCAACAACAAATACTCAGGAAATGGGGAAGATCAACAGACAATAACTCTTCTGGAAGACACCTGGTACACCTGAAATACACCCAGTCTCTTTGACTACTTTGTAAGTTCATCTCCTGTGATGCTTTTCTTCTAACTAGATGCTGCAGAAAGGGCATCTACTCATCACCAACAGTTGTCACTGTCTTCACATCCACCAGAGCTGTAGATACTGAAGAGAGAACTGCTGGATGACATCTGGATTATTTGAGCATGTTTCATAATTTATCATTGTGGATAGCTGCATGCCCTTTGCTGTCACACAGGCTAATAAAGAGTTAACAAAGTACATCTTTGAGGATGCAAACAGTGCTCATTTAATGCTGATATTCATCTAGAACAGAGGAAGTACAAACCTATAAATGAAATAAGGTATTTTTCCTGAAAGATTTTACATTACAGTCCAGTTTAGATTAAACTACAAAAATAAGACTTTCAAGTACCAATAGTAAAGAATATTTTATTAAAATGGAAGTTTTTCAAACCTTATGTATCAAAACTAAGGCCACAGCTAATGCTAACACAAAGTCAACCTCAAAAGGTTCTTATGATACAATTTAGAAATCCTATACAAAGCTATTTTACAAATGAGTACTCAAACATCCTGAAATGCAGCATTACTTACTTGTCCTAAAATGCTATAGCAATTATTCTAGTGATAATATTTAATGATAGAAAGTACTGAGCTACCAGTGCATAAAACTTGTCTTTAGTTTGGTCCTGTGAGGAAAATATTTTTCTGCATCACTCCAGCTACGAAAACAAATGGAAGTACAAAACATTGCAATGGAAGCTGCCAGTGATTCTTCCCTTTTGTGCAGAGTTGATTTCATTTCTTCTGATGCTAAATATCCCCAGTCATAATAGCAATAAACTCATCTTGATTGACTATAGAAAAATAGGAAAAAGACAAAATCGTTAGACAAACAGCAAACATTCATAAACCATAAAAGAGAGAAAACCTGTGCTCTACTTTTTAATTAAAGACCTCCCAGTTAGTATTCTTTGTGTCTGAACCATTACTAATCAGGGTTTATAAGTTTGATCTTTTTGCTTCTAGAACAACAGAGATCTTGCACGCTTTTTTTTTTCCATGAAAAAGGAAAAGTCAGAATGCAAGATTGATTGTGTAGAATATTTAAGCCAGAATCTAGCTCACCTAAAAAAAGATTTTATTTCTAATTACAAAAGTAAAAATATTCTAAAAGTAAAACAAGATAGAAAAAGGCACTGAGAAAAATATCTTCATCAATTTTTTCATACTTATGTCCAACACCCCCCACCCAAAACATCACATTACTCCCTCTCTCAAATCTGTAACACCTGCTAAGTACAAAATGAATACTAAGACCATTTACTAATGATTCCATAAATTAGGCAGAATTAAAATGGACTTTTGACAAGCTTTTCCCCATCTGAACTTTCTTCATTCTTCAGCTATAATTAACAGAAACTTTACACAAATGTACTTTAAGAAATTAAGTAATAATAATAAACTAATTAGCAGTCATTAATTATTTTGCTGCACTTATACCTGAGCTATTGACCTTGCTCATATGTTAAAACAGAGCCACTAAAAGTTAACCAATGAACATGTTCACTCTGCAACTAATTACTATAGTGGGGAATGATTAGAATAAGTGGTATGGAAAAGAACATACATTTATGAAGAATTCTCTCAGACAACTATCAGTCACAGCCAACATGCCCAAGCTATTCCTAAACAAATTGAACTACAAGGTATGAGCTACATTTACAGCTAAAAGAAAATTAAATAAATCCAACTGTGTTGAAGAATAAAGAAATAAACCTGCCCTACTGTGATACATTTATTAAACAAGTAGAATTAGCTCCAAAGTATCAGTCCATAATACAGCTACATCACATTCTACTACACATAAACCCTCTATTGCCTGTATGAATCTAAAAGTCATTTCCACAGCTTTATCACAGTAACAGCACAATAACAGCACAAACATCCTTCCCAAAATACTCTTGTGTTTAAAGTGTCTTTGTTAAACATGATGTAAAGTGGAAATACAATATTCTAATATAATATATAATATTCAAATACACTGCAAAGAGAGGCATAGTTAAAATTCCCAGTAACCCAGTTAATTCCAGTTAATCCTCCTCAGCCTAGAGGAGGATAGATCCTCAGTTAAGCACAGTGAAATTACAAGCAATCATATAATCTTTCCCAGGGTCAGATTTCCCTCAATTCCATGACATAAATGATCATAAAAGCATGAACTAATAACACAGATAATATGAAGAAAATGTTGACTTGGCCTCTGGAGATTTAAAGGAGCACATTATTTCAGTGGAAGTTGGTTCTTTCCCAAGTCTGTGCCAAAATCTGTGACCAAAGACTGGATCATGGTTCCTACAGATGCATCTACACTAGATGACAAAAACTGCAGGAACTGACAGCATGGAGCTCCTAAAAATTCTCATATCCTGAGAGAGAAGCAATTCCCAAGGCCAGAAATAAGAAAATAAGACTATTTACCTTTCTAAGGCAGACAAATATGTCAAAAATACTTTTTTCTTCTACAGAAACGTAAGTGCAGTGTACCAGTATAGATCACTGGCCTTGATGGAAACAGACCTTATTTCACTAGGAGCAAAACAATCTCTCAGTTTTAAGAAGGATGTTAAATCACAAGTATAAATTACAAATGCTACCACCTAACAGTTCCAGACTATTTTTCTTGCCAGGAAAAGGAGAATTAGATGACAGCAAGATTATACTACATGACCCAGATGTTTAAAGTTAAATGGAACAGTGATTCACAGGATTATTTGCTTTTTCAAAATGAGTATTAAAAAGCTAGAAACAGCATTGGTTTTCTTTCAAGAAGAGAAAACACACAAAACTTTAGGGATAAAAAACACCATATACAAACATCGTGCTGTAAACCTTCCATATCCAATATCATGCTTGACTGCTCTGAAAAGAGAATGAACTGATGAATGAATAAGAGGAAACTGAGAGGTACGAGCCACCCGCTCTTAGCTGATCAATTTGAATTAAAAAATGTAGCACTGACCCAAAATATGACTCAGCAACCTTCCTGAAAGGAGCTAATGGTCTGCATTCAATTTGTAGGGACCAAATAGGCATGTGACAGAAAACCATCCATGATTCTGACACCTCAGTTGGCAGCTCCCCAGCAAAGTAGCTCAGAACAAAGTGCCCTTGCAGGTAACTTCCAGTCTCACCTCTACAGCTGCACACTCAAAATAGAATTTAAAAAAAAGTAAAATCCATAATAAGAAAAAAGTAAATCCAGCAAGGAAATGTCCTTACAACTCTTCCTGTTACAGCAAAACAAGCTAAAAATTAAACTATCTACCTAGACTAGCCACCAATCTAATGGACTGAAAAAAAAGGAACCATTCCTTGTCTGTCATACAGCTACTGAAAAGGAAGCAAACAGGCATCCTATTGTTTAGTGCAATTCACTGCTGCAATCCTGTGCCACTGCACAACCGTGCCTGAAGACAGGATTTGTAGCTTTCTCCATACTGACCTGCTACAATTATCCCTGAGAAACAGAAAAATACACAGCTCCAGGAAAATCTGAACAAGCAGTGGGACAACTCAGCGACATAAGGAGCAAGTAAAATAACAGACACCTAAGTTAACAGCTTTCTCCTGGCTTAGCTCCCTTAAACATCTCACTGGTGGGACCAGGTGCTGCTGGTACAAGAAATGAGTGGGAAAACTCATCTGGGAGTATGAAGGAACGTAAGAATTACACAATATGGACTTATTAAGGAACCACAACCTCAGACCATAAAAAGACATCAGAAAACAACAGCTCCAAAAGGAAAGAAATCACACCCTTTTTCAACACTTACTTTAGTAGTAACAGTGTCAACATTAACACTCTCCTGACAGTTGAATCACTGACCTTTCACTATCTTTGTCTCCAGACACAGTATTTCCACTACAACAGCAGAAAAGGTTTGCATTTCCACACTACTGACCATGCTCAAAATGTCCTGCTCTTCCTCTTGAAAGTAAAGGGATTTCTTTAGGACTTAAGCACTTGTACTCCCAAGTGTGGAATAACATCTATCTCAAATATCACAGAAGGGTGGAGTGTCTGTCACAAGGCTGATAACACCACATTATTTTTTTCACTACCAGTGAGAGTTTGGAGTACAACAGGTGCTGTGGTTCACAAGAAATACTATTGTAGATGGAAAAGCTGACAAACTACTAGTGAAATCTCAGACATGAGTCACTATTCTGAAAGACAAACTCTGAAGTAGGTTTCAATGACTGTGAAAAATGCAGGTTTTATGTATCTGGTCTTGGGTAAATGGACCCTGAAATTCGATATCGAGGTTACTGGTGTAAACATACAGGTGCTTTTGTTAATGAAAAAACCCAACTTCAGTGCTCATGAAGATTTAATAAACAGAGTATGAAACTGAATTTGTCAATTTCTCTAACTAGCTAATCCTTTTGCAGCCCCTGTGGACCTTACCAGTTGCCTGTAGACGTTTTTCATGCTATGTCCCTCAGAACTCCTAAGTTCAGAAGTACCTTACAGACTCATCCAAGCTGATCCTGCAGAGACTTACCAGGGTACATCCAAGATGACTTAATAGCTTATACTCTGTATCTGACTAACATGTTGCAATCTGTACAATGACACATACCACTTTAATAACTATTGACTAGACAATCAAAGTGTGTTTCTCTTTGAACTTTCATCCCTTTACTGATTTATAAGAAAACAAAGATGTAATGTCGGCACATGGACTCTCCCACATACTAGTTCAACTACTTTCACCCTGAACTACACTTTCACTGATTTTTAATAGGCAGTGGCTGGATAAGAGGTAGTGGTGGCAAATCAAGATGTGTTTCCAGGACTAGCAGCTGTCAACAATTTCCATTATGTGCAACCTAAATTAAGTTTGAGTTGTAAGTTATTTAGAAGGCACCCAAACTGGACACGTTCACACCAAAACCACATTAAAAAGGGGGAAAAAAAAGAGAACATATTATATGGGGTTTTGTTTGCTTACACATACTTTCTCCATCTCCATCCTTATCAAATTCTTCAATCATAGCCCGTAATTCTTCATCAGACATATTTTCACCTAGTTCTCTAGCAACTCGGCGCAGGTTTCTCAGACTTATTTTACCAGAGTCATCATCATCAAACAATTTGAACGCCTTGAGTATTTCTTCTTGTGGGTCTCTGTCCAATATCCAGTCTGTCACTATAAGAAGGACACAAGTTATACTAAACAATTCTGAAGGGTAAAGTTGGAATAACCTTAGTAGACTAAGGCAACATGAAGAACATAAGCTTCCAATTTCACACATTTTTTCATCTTTATATACTTCACTTCAATGTGCATATTTGGCTGTTACCTGACCTCTCCTCTTTTCCCAAGCTGAGTTTCTCTTTGGGACAAACCTGCTGCAATGGAATGCTCCATGGTAATTCAGACAGAGTCATGTCTTCAACACACTTTTCAATGGGAACTAAAAGTATTCACATGCTTTCTCTCTTCCAAAACTACCTTTCAGAAAAAACATCAGCTCTAACAGATGAAGACATGATTTATTTTTTTTTGTTTTGATCAAGATAGAATTTTGACTTGGACAGAACTCTAAAACACTAATCAATGAGAAATATTCACATGGAACCTCTCTTTTAGATACAAAACCACACTAACAAAAAAATTAAAAAACCCTCTAAGCCCAGGGGTCATGAAAAGGACACTGCTAGGAACTGCAAGATCTTAATTCTGAAATTATTCATTAGGCTTTATTATTCCTTTTATCACAACAATTAGTCGGTTTCTGCAACAGAAAAGGCAAACTTGCCACATAAAATATTTTTCTAGTAATTATTTCAGATATTCCAAGAACCAGCCATAAAGATCTCCACATCTTTGTACCTTCTAATCTTGTATTGCAGGTTTTGCTATTTATGACTTTCATCAAGTCATTAAAAGCACATCAATCCTGTTTGTGCACAGAGAAGCACTTAGCATCTGCTGTTGTCTGCAGATGGAATGCCTGCTCTGGCTTAGCAAACTTGACAGGAAAAAAATTTAGATTGAAGCTCATGTAAGCTCACTACAGCAATGAAGTTTATATGCCTACATAAATCCTGCAGATTTATGCTAGATTTAAATATTTTCATTTAAAACAACTACGCTGCATGACAGTATTACATCATTTGGAAAAGTTCTGCCTTTTGTGGAAAAAGAGAACTGCAATACTAGCTGAAGAACAATAGAACAGTGGGTCTCTAAACACTAAAGGTAACATAATTGTGCCAAACAACACAAAATGTAATTGTATCTTTATACATTTCAGATTGCCATTACAACATTCAAAACCATAAAAAACATTAAATGAGTAAAAGGTATTCTCAAGAACTGCTTTGCTATATTCAGCAGCTCTTCACAATTGAAGCTTCTATAACCTATTTTCTCTAACTCCCTCATCCTCCTGCTAGAAGTGGTATCTTGTTTAATTCCGTGTCAAGGTCATATTGTCTCACAGCAGCACTCAAATCCGATCCAGGTTTTGGGACAGGTCTGATTACCTTCAAAGTATACATTGTGTTTTCTAATGAATTTTCCTAGCTTCTCACAGCATTTACTGACTGCCCATATTGACAGCCAGGACAGAACCACTGAACAGTGACAGGACTAAAAATCAGAAATTGCTAAAGAATTACACAGGAATTACAGTATATTCAATTGTAAAATATTATAGCATAATTATGTAATTATATTATTATTGCTATTCAATCAATACTCTCACTTTATTTATTTTCTTAAAATTAAATCAGGACTGATCATATAGATTTCCCCACAGGCTTTATTTTATTCTTTCCTGACTTATAATTTGCTCTATCCTGGAATACAACTACAGAATTATTGTCTGTCATTAACTAGACTTTGTTCAATCATAACCTGTTAAATCATTAAAATCTGCCACTTTTCAATCAATAACTATTTTGCCACATTAAGTAACTGTTATTTTTAGCCAAGAGCAAATACACATATACTGTATGAACTGCAGTAATGAAACAGAGATATAAAGTTATACATGCAGAAATCCTGCACGTTGTTTTTTTTAATACAAATTGTATGCAGAAGTATAAATAATGCACGACTATAAAAACATCTCCAAAGGAACCTAATCTTTAAGAATTGTGTGCAGATTACTACATACTAAAAGTATGTTGAACTGCACAACACACAATCTTCAGATGAAAGAAACAACCTAATGAAATTCCACTGTTTTTAACAACAGCTGAAAATCCTTCAAGTACAATATTCAACATCTGCTTCTAGTTTTCTTATCTTTGTTATATATGAAGTCTGCATTCAGTTTACAGTTTGTCTGTGGATACACCCTCTTCCATGAAATTCAAGGCCAAATACCCTTTATACAGCAGGAAGGAGAATTGTACAAAATCCTTAAACAACACAGGAATGTCTGTATTTTAAGTTAGCACTTATTCCTTAAGGTTTGAAAAAGATTAGGACTGTGTATACTCAACTTCCTTTCATACTGCAGCAAACGCTTACCTCTACACAACGTGAGTGTTCAGAATACAAAGATTAATATTTCTCCACTATTAAATTTTATTAAGAAAAATATGAAATTAAGTCTACCATTTTATTTCTTAGTAGTACTAGGCAGCTGAAAAAGTACATGAACTACTGTTTCTAAACTGTGGCCACTATTATACAATAAATTTCTCTAAAGGTGCACAATCAAACACATACCAACTTCATTAAAATCTTCAAAGGTGATCTTGCCCGTTGCTTCTCGATCATAATCTTTAAGTATTTTCAGTACATCAGCTTTTTTCACATCAAAACCCAAGGCTCTCATTGCCACCTTTTGGAATAAAATGGAAGTGCAACCATAAATGAAGATTAAAGCACAGTATTTAAGAGATTTCTTTTTAATCTCAGTAATTACTTTGTTCAAGAGACAAGGTGGACATTAGTGGCTTAGCATCAATAATAAATGAAATCAATACAAGGTAAAATACCTTGGATATCAAAATCATCTAAAATTACTACTAGCAAATGGAACATCAAGTTGCAGTGAAAAAAATAGCCTTTGAATTTTCAGGTATTTTACCAACTGGACTAAATGCTTCTGAGGACAGGTAGATTGATCTTCCTCACTTTTAAAAACATTTTAAATACTGAACCTTTTTCAAAGATAAAACATAAAATCATTATTCCCATTATTATTTTTAAGGATTCATACTAAGTGTGTATGTTCTCAGGTTTACAAACCCTCTTACAAGGGACTTCGCTGTTTTTCCAGTGAACAACATAAAACAACCCATTTTTATGTTTCTACTGAGTTAAGAGTGCAAGTTTAGTTTCCTGTTTCAGCTAGCAATTTCTCAGCACACACTAGCTTGATTTCCTCCAAGCTGATGAACATACATGTAAATAGAAGTCAAAAACCACAATCCTATTGGATGTAGCCACCCAAAAATCTGCTATATGCTGATTGTAAGGAGAAGGAGACAGATCTTTTCTTTATAGATTTCTGTTCTTCCATTGTATTATCTTCAGGGCCACAATATTTAATGACACAGCTAAAAAAACAGCTTTGCAAAAAATCATGACAGATGGGAATTCAAAGTAATACCATAAGCATATTAGCAGTCCTGAACCTGTTGCCCTAGCACTATCCTACTGACTGTGGTTTCCAGCAAAGATAAAATACCTAAGCTCTGAAATAAACAGAATGGAACTGCTACACCTAAGACCTTCCTGTAACAGCAATTAAGGTAAAACTAAGATTATTTTTTTTCCCTTTGATCTACTTGGTAGAGCTAGAATGTGGAGTCAGCAGGTTGGATTAGATGTTCCTTCCCAAAAGGATCTCGCCCAATATGTGACAGAAACACCATCCTCTCCAAAGCTACTTTTTTTTAGTCCTGATTTTTTTTAAAGATAATTTCATGAACATCATTACTACTTCCAGACACTGCCAGATGGGGAGATCAACTGCGAAAGACTGCCATGCTAACCTTTATCTGCCAAAAGCTATCAACAGGTGAACCTTCATTGTGAACAGGAACTAGGGATCCTCCTGTAAGCATTGTAAACAGCATACCTCCCTCCTACAATCCAGACCTCCCTCCCACAGTCCATAGGCTCCCTGATGGAAAATTCAAGTGGGTAAACTCTGACTTCTAGTCAGCAGTTTTAAAATTTTGGTTTGTATCTCTTACCTAAGCATCTGAAACCTGTGGATCTTCACAATACCAAGCTTTAGATTACACAGACCTTTAAAAAGAACCCAACAGCTTTTCAAGATCTTTTTCCACCTAGTCACCTGTCCAAGCTAAACCCTGGGGAGTATTTGGACCAGTATTATGAAGGATGCTGCAGCAAGCTACCTTAACGTGTCAAGTACTTTGTGTGGAAAGAAAAGTTCATTCTTACACCAATCAAATATTTCTTCCCCACCCCCCCAAATATCCTCAGTCCTTTAGTCCTGCAAGTGATCCTAAACATGGAGCATTTTTTAAAGACACTGCCAACATCCTAAAAACTCACTAAGAAACATGTATTATCTGACATAAAATTGCTTAAATTAAAAAATTTTTTACCTTTAGTTCATGGTAATTTATTGCTCTATCTTTGTCTGTATCAAACAACTCAAAGGCATCTTTAATTTCTTGCTTCTGCTCCTCAGTCAGTTCTCTTCTTCTCTTCTTTTTAGTTTTGTCTACGGAAAGCTCATTCCTATATGAGAAGAATGAAATTAAGTGCCATCGATTTCTACTGTGAAGGTACCACTGTAGATAACATTTTTCACCAATCTTTTCCCAGCTTGTCCTTCCAGGTTAAAAGGATACTTGAAATAGACAATTCCCTTTTGAAAGCTGACTGACACCTCCACTCTCCCACACAAACTAAAATCAGCACAGGTGTTTTAATCCACAAATAGCAACAAAAGGAGAACAGAAAAACTACCAGTTAAAAAAAAAAAAAATAGTTGAGGTTACAAACTGGATTAGCAGTTGAAATTATTCAACTCCTGAAACTGCTTCATTTCTAAACTGTAGAAGGAGTTCCAAGATAGACAGGCCACTAGAGGCTTAACCAGGCCAGACAACTGATTCTCCGCATACTAAAGTGCGCATTAGGTGCCAGAAATCGGCTTTGCTGCCAGTAGCAGTTCTTAGATAAATAACATCTAGGGATTTTTTAAAAAATTCTTTATAACACACACACAGTGTTCTAAAGAGTTTTTGCTCAGGTTTTGCAATATACAGGAGAGACAAGCCCCTCAAATCAGCAAATCTGGTTCAAAGACAGCCTGTTTTTTGTTGTCTGGTTTAGAAATAAGATTTTCATGTAACAGACAGAAAATGCATGATTCATATATTGGGAACAACAACTGAAAAAAAAAAAAAAGAAAAAAAAAAAGAAAAATTAAAAGGATGGCACTGATAAGATGCTTTGGACCAAGCTAGTAAAGTGTAAATTTTGCTGTAATTTGTGCTTTATTCACATGAATGAGATTGACTGCTGTATCCACAGCAATTGCTTGGAAAATGTCCACCTCAGAGCAAGAACTCTTGAAGAAAAAAAAATAATAAAATAGTACATTTGAGGTAACAGGTGATATCAACTAAGTCTCTTTCAGTGCTCTAGGTACACTCTTGGAAGAAGTGGGCATGTGCAAAGCTCAGCACCAGCTCTGTGCTGAGGATGGCTAATTGCAATGGTAAATCCCCTCCATTCTGCCACGATAAGGCCACACCAGCTGTACTGTCTTCAGCCTTGGACAACCTAGTAAGAGATGCAAAGGACACAGGCAAGGTTTAAGTCAGACTATTGTGCTTGGTGGCTGCAGCATATGGTGCACGGGGGACTGAGGGAGCTGTGTTTGTTCAGAAACAGAGTGCAGAAAGGCTAAGGAGAGATCTAAGTACTGTCCTTCACCATCTGTAGATTTATTCTATAGAAGACAGCAACAGGTTTCCCTCAGAGGAGCACAGTGCAAGGGCAAGAGACAACAGCCACAAAACACAAGAAAAGAAATGGCTGCTGGATTTAAGGGGAAATATTTTCCCCAGTGTGAGTAGTTATGTACTGAATCAGCTGCACCAAGGTACTTAAGATTCTCCATCACCCCAAATTTCTGGAACCCAGCTGGAAAAGGTGCTCAGCAACCTCATTCCATTTTGAGTGGTACCTGCTCTGAGCTGAAAGCTGAACTAGGTGACTTTTAGAGGGTCTAATCTAACATTATATAATTTAGGCTCTGCAATCAGGGAGAGGCTTTTTACACTCATCTGTTTATTTGCACCAGAGACAAAACTGCAAAATCTAAAACTCATAAAAATCACTGATGAGAGAACAGAGTAGTGTTTCTCAGGGATACTTATCTCCCTTATCTCCTGCAATGTGCTTCTTCTTCTCCTTTGATAAGGATTTGCTAATTTTAACCAATACTAAAGAGAAACACACAGCTGAGATTTAGCTTTCAACAACCCCTGAAGTTACACCAGTAAAAAATTCCAAATATAGCCAGGCAAAGTGCAAGCTGGACCTGCTTCAGACAGCAATATCCTCAAAGTGTGAGAAGTCCTTAGCAGACCAATTGGGACAGCATGATTTCAACATAGGCTTTGGATTACTACAGCTTTTGGAAGGACTAAAATAACTCTGAGCTGTCTACATAATTATGACTGGGAGAGTAGCTCAGATCCAGAGAGCACATATTTTGTGAGCTGTGGTGATGAAATCCATTTAGAAGCCTGAAAGCAGATTAACACAGAACTGTTCTGGAAGAAGGATCTAGCTACTCAAGTGTTTACTTAGTGATTAGCATAAAAGAATTTTCTCAAAACACACAGCAATACTTAAATGCAGGGAGTTTAGTGCCATTCGTTCTGGAAGCACTTTTACTATAGCAAGAGCGAAGTTCTCAGACCTAGCCAACCAAGGATCATATACGCCATGTAAGCATATTAATTATGCACTAAGACAAGGATTTGGCACGCACGGAATTCATCAACCCGGCCTATTTATAAACAAAAACAGCTACTGAATGTGAACTAAAACCAGAACACAACAGCCTAACTGAACGCCTTATTACAAGGCTTTTTTGAAGGCGCATCGCTCCTAACAATCCAGCAGGGAACCTCTCAAAGCCTGACGCGACTGGCCCTGCCTTCCCTGGGTGAACAGACGCCCTGACCGCCCAGCCGCCCACCTCCAAGGGGATCAAACACGACCGGCTGGAGCCTGTGGCTGAC